ATCTCCATCAACTGCAAGATGCTATCCTATCAATATGGGCCAACATTTCTAAAGAATGCTTTCAGCACCTTGTTGAATCAATGCCACGTACTGTAGAATTAAGGCAGTTCTGAAGGCGAAAGGGGGTCAAACACCATATTAGTATGGTGTTTGTTCTGTTCTTTACTGCATATGACGATGGTGATTATTTAACACATTTCACCATACAGCTGCATTATTTAGCATTTTTTTTCTTTACAATTAATCAAATAAAAGGCTGCTTTCCAGTAATATATTTCCTCTTTGAAGTTTTCCTTAAAATGTTGTTAAAATATCGTCTCCTCTCGTTCTTGTCAACCCAATATTGTGTCTCGTCTCCTCTCGTGGGCTGAGTATATCATTACACTCCTAGTAGGAAACATCTCTGATCTATCAACAGAACATATCAAAAGACAACCATCTGCCAGATGGAGTCCTCATTACATTTTAATGTATGCAGCCTAAATGAAAATTCCAGTCCTTTCAATATAACACAATGGATCCATGATTCCATTATTGTACTAACAATCATTTTAACTTGGCAAGAAACAAATTCAGGTATTCATTAAATACAGGAGGCAGTTGTACAAAGAAACCGCGATATAAACTTTCATGATCTCATGCTGCATTTCTGGCACAGCGATATGCCAACCCCAACTCGCTGGCACTGCTGCAGGTGCATCCTGTTGAGTTCTCATTATAAATGAAATCTTACAAAACTCATCTTACATTTCACAATTAAGATGATAACTCATGTAAATCATAAAATTATTATTCTATTTAACTCAAACTCAATCACAGAGGAGGCTGAATTTAAGAACTGGGTTGAATTTGACAGCCAAACCAGCTCAAAATTTATTGAAATGCAGTCTTAAATTGACCATGTGTAGCCAGATTTATTATAATGAATTATCCATCCATTTCTCAACCCACTTATCCTTCTTGGTTATGGGGGGTCTGGCACACTCACACACCATTCACACCTATGGGCAATTTAGTAATTCCAATCAGCCTCAGCATGTCTTTGGGGGGAAACCAGAGTACCTGGAAAAAACCCCATGACGAAACAGGGAGAACATACAAACTCCACACACGTAAGCCAGACGGAGACTTGAACTCAGGTCCCAGAGGCATAAGGCAACAGTGCTAACCATTGCACCACCATGGTGCCCCGTTATGATAAAATATTCATACAAAAATATGAACTTAACTTCTCCCAAGACACCTTTTCCTAGCGCACACCAGGTACTGCACCAGGGGTGCTTTCCCTTTCCATTTACTTCTGGTCGAGTGCCAGTACCAAACGTTCCAGTATCTAAAGTGCCTAACCAAGTAGGGTACTTTTCTAGTATTTCAGTACTTTGGGGTGGGACTTGAAATGCTGGGCAAATGATGAGACCCAAGCTGGTCGGAAGAACAAATACATCAAGATCAGGATAGCATGACAAGAAATAAGGTATTTTGTATATTACAGCTACCAGGACAGCATTGTATTAAAAAAATTTCAAATATTGAAATGTGAGTTTGTTGTAATAAATACTGGTGTATTTATAAAGCAGAAAATGATTTCAACATAAATTTCTCACAAACTCATCTAGGAATGATTTAAGCAACAATATGAAAATGATTATGATTATGATTGTCTCGGAGAATGCATGTAGCACTTTTGCAAAAGCAGCGGGGATAAACTTTAGACTGATTTTAAAAGAGATACTACATAATCCAGAAAAGGAATAATCATTAAAATGACAAAACTTGCTAAGTTTTTTTACCTATGACAGAGTAAAATGTTTTGGCCAAACTCCCAGTGCTATAATGTCCATACAGTATGAAAGTAAGAAAAAGTCTGATCTTAATCTAGCTGACTAGTAATGTAAGAATTGCAGGTGCATTTGATGTTGGTATAAATATCACCCATCACCCAACCCTATAATATACTACAGATATTTTTCAAATTCAGTACAGTACTCCAGCTCGTTTTGTGATGTCATTCAGTGCCCCCAGTTTTTATGCCAGTAGAAAAACCACATGTTGAAGTACCGTCCTTTTGGTACTTTCTTGGAAGTACCAAAAGTACGGTAGCCGGTGAGGTGGAAAAGCACCCTAAGAGGCAGGAGGGGGAGCTAGCTTGTGGCCTTGATTGACGTGCTAACACGCCACCTATTGCTGTGCAGTCTGGGATTTGTAGTACCAGTGATGGGTGTTTTGGTCCAGTCATGATTGAGTGATCACACCTAGGCTAGTGTCAGTAGAGAAACCCACTTTAGTGTTTCAAATTGTTGGTGATTAAAACCAAGAAACTGTCTTAACCGTCTTTTCTTACTTACCCCCCCAAAAAAATGAATGAATAGATAGATAGATAGATAGATAGATAGATAGATAGATAGATAGATAGATAGATAGATAGATAGATAGATAGATAGATAGATAGAAAAAACTGAAGCATACTGAACCATGGTTCAAGAATTTAGGTCTGAACTGAACCACAGATTGTGAGAATCGTTAGACCCCTACTTACTGTATTGCCCATACTCCCACCTACACCTGTTGTTAAAGGAGTGTCTGGTCTCTCAGTCATTTATGGGGCCAGTTCCTGATGCACATTAACAAGGATGTTGCTGGAATTGTCACTATCCTTATATCCAGGGAAAGACAAAAATCATCGCTATCACTGGAGAGAGGGCCTGGAGATCTGGAATGTGACTAGGAAGGATGCTGGACAGTACAATATCAACTGTAACAATACAGAGGGACAGAGCAACATCACCCTCACCTTGGATGTCCAGTGTAAGGCATGCATAAAAAGATGGAGTGGGCATGCTGTGTGGCTCTGGGAGTTAATGGCTGAGATTCGAAGGTCATTGGTTCAAATCAAATGACCGATGGAGTTATTCCAGCTTTGGGCCCTTGATCAAGGCCCTTAACCCCAGTGCTGCATGCTTGCTGACCCAGTACTCTGACCCCAAAACTTGCACTCACCTGTATATGTTTGTGTGTCTAATGGAGGGAAAGATGGGGACATGCATAAACTACCCAATTTCCACATGGGAATGAATAATGTGCCACTATGAATTTCCTCTTTGCCATGTGCCATGTGCCCCATAAAATACCCTCATGATGAGTGCTGCACATTCATTTCAGAATGTTCCGAATACCATGCAGGGTAAATTTTGCGTGTGTTTATAATGTAGAACATTTTATGAAGCACATATGAGGTTATTTAGATTGTTGAAGCTTGTCAAATGTTTAAGACAAATATTTGGGGACCTAGGTAGCTTTAGATCCTCCAATGCACCACTGTGTGCAGCACCCTTTCCCAAATGTATACCTGTATTTCAACACTCTAGGCAGATAGTTATTCTTTATATTTGTAATTGACTTTGTTCCTAGATGCCCCCAGTGTGAGGATAGTGACTGATCCAGTCTATGTGGATTTGGGCCAGACAGCTAACCTGGTGTGCAAGGCTGATGCCAACCCCCTGATCTTGGGCATGTTCTCCTGGGAGTGGCTGGTGAGATTTTCTGTCATTCCAAGCATCCCATCTTTTTCACTGATGGTATTTTAAACTCCCTCCTGTTTATCACCCATTCTTCTACCAACAGAAGCATGCGACCTTTCATTGCCCTGACAATTCCTCATTCTCCCATTTTCTTTCTTCTTTGCTCAAAGGAAGAAGAATAGTTTTCATTAAAACAGTGTTACTAAAGGGAGTGTTTGTCAATGCCGTCTTGGATTATGTAATTCTCTCACTTTTAAGCACAAAGTTCATTGGAGCTGTGTTCTCCAGCTGACTCAGTATTATCAGAATCTTGCTCTGTGTATTTCAGGGAGAGGAAGAAGAAGAACTTGGTTTGCAGGATGAAGATGAAGACACTGGTTGGCTCACCATTGCCGAGGTTACCCGTTCCCATAGCGGACGCTATAAGTGCACAGTAGACAATGGCATTGGACCCTCTGCAAGTGCAGAGGTCCAGCTTGTTGTGCGCTGTGAGTAATTTAACATCCAGAGGTAATTAATACATTACCATGATGTGGTGCTCTACAGCTTTTTCCTATTCCTGTAGTTAAGCCTGAGATCCAGAAGGGGGTGCAGTGGAGCAAAGTAGCAAGTCGGGGCGATGGCAGCAGCAATGCTGAGGTCATCTGCCAGGCTGAGGGGATACCGAAAGTCCATTTATCTTGGGCCAAAAATAATGTGGCTATGGATTTTGCTGACCCAAGGTATGGTGACAACTATTTGTAATCCACCCACTTATTTAGTATATCCCATTTAAGAATTTGGTTTAATGTCAATGCAAATCGATATTTTTCTGCAAATCAGTAATGGATCCACTGCTTTCACATTTTGCATGTCAAATACACATTTTGGCATCATTGGGTTTTATTATAATGAGTTATAATGGCTAAGAAAAAGTAGTGGATATTTAAAATGAATTTAGGTGAATGGCAAGGATCAGTGGTTGAGTTGTGGGCACAGGTGAGATGTCACCCCAAACTGTGCTACCCTTATGTGGCAGGTATGAAGAGCGTACTGTTAGGGAAGGCTGGGTTTACACCAGCACGGTCACCATAATCAATGTCAGCACAGCACTGGACTACGCTGTATTCACCTGCACTGCCCGCAATGCCCTGGGAGAGGACCAGCTGGCCGTCCAGCTCCTCAGCACCAGTAAGTGGGGAGAAGAGAATCTAGTCAGTCATTATTCTCCAGAAATTCTTTACTACTTTTTATAATGTTCTAATGTGTGTGATGAAGTTTTATGACAATAATGCATCATATTTGAAGTTAATAGTGAGGGAGACAAGGGGATATTGATAAAGGGTGACTGGAGAGGAGACAGGACAGGAATATACTCAGATAAACAAAAGGACAAAGGAGGGGTGTAAATGAATTAAAGAAGTGTATATGGGAATGGAGATGATGGTAGGAAAGGGGAAATAGGATCAAATTTAAAAAACACAGAAGAAATATTGGGCATAAACATGTAAAGCAAGGCATATAGTGGTAAGAATGAAGCAAACATAATCATTCTAATGTTATTTTTGTCCTCACTTAGCCACAGTGTTGTGAGATTACAATTAAGGGAGAGGCCAAAGCTCAATGTGGAAAAAAGTCCATTTCCATGACAACACCTGAAATGTTCCTTGTTTGGCATTCACAGCTGCAATAGTCTACCTGTAAATTAAACCATGGAAAGAGCATGTGAAAAGAAGATGACATGATTATGGAAGCCTATTTCTCCTGATATTGTTGCTCTCTAACCCAAAGAAGCATACAAAAATAAAACATGGAATTCAGCATTAGTTGTGAACTACTGATACGTAAAACAAAGTGACCTAGATATCATAGCAGATAAGTGAGATGGAGTGGAGACCAGATGTCCATCACTGGGAACCTTTCTACATTCGACATTCTAGAATATTTCTTGTTCTAACATTTCCAGACAGCAAGGTTGTGAAGAACTTCCCTGTTCACTGGCCTGGCCGCTCTGCCTTCTGGCTGTGAAATTAATATCCGTCCACATCCACAATGGCCTCCCAGACACATTTAATCTTTACCTTAGAAACTATGAGGTGCAATTCAGTATCCTCACTATTTTTTATTGCTACAAATATTCATAATTAATTGGTTACATTTATATATAATTATATATGCTCCATATCGTTATAGGGTTGAAATAAAAATTCTTATTTGCCATCATGGTGGTAATGAATGATTTGAAGGTGCAGGCCCATGAAGTAATACAATTAATTCTGAACTGTGTAGCTTTTTATTTTTGTTGTATTTTTTCTGCCTACCTCACAAATTGACCTTGAAATGATGAGGTGTACGCTCTGATGCAAATGTTGATATTTTTTATTCAGCTAGCTTCTTTTTACAGAGTTTGGTATTTGTTTACACAGATGGATTGTTACAGTTGGAACTCAGTGAGTTCCCACAATACTAATGTAAAGGAATTGCCAAACATATAAGTATAACTCATAACTAAGTGATGGTCCTTAATAGACTTGGGCTCTGTATGTCTATGTCTATGTCTACAGGGCTGACCCAACCATTTTGGGGGCCTTAAGCAAAATTTAATTAACCTACTTGTCATGTGTCATCTTATTTCTTAGGGGGGCACCCAGTGCACCACTGGGCCCTAAGCAGCTGCTTAACTATCTCATGCCTTGGGACGGCCCTGAATATCTATGTATATGTCTATGTGTTTACATCAATGTCTCCTTTTGTATTGTAAATTTTCACTCATTATTTCTGATCATTTTAGAAAAGTTGAATTTTTGCTATTTTGTTGCCATATTTTGCTACATGTTGCCAATCATGTATGCAAATGAAAAATGTACTACTATTATTGTAAGACTGTGACAGATAATTGATACAATTTGATTTCTGTCTTTTATGTTTACACTTTTATTCCAAAATGTTTTTCTATTTTTCTCTCACAGGTCACCCTGACCCTCCATCAGAATTAAAATTAGTCAGCGTCACCCACAGCACAGTTACGCTGGAATGGAACAAAAGCTTTGACGGTGGATTAGAGCAGAAATTCCGTGTCAGGTGGATCCATTAAGTTTATTAAGGCTGTAATCAAAATGAATTATCTATGATTTGCAATTTTACAGAATGATGCTCTTTCTCAAAACATTGGGTTATCCATGGCAGGTATCGCTGGCCCGGTTCTGTCAGCTTCCTGTATGTGGACGTCTTTCCACCATGGGCTACCACATTCACAGTCAGTGGCCTGTCTCCTCAGACAGCATACAGCTTCTCAGTCAATGCCCTCAATGCCATGGGGGAGAGTGGATATGCTGATAATGATGCAGTTCTCACAGTCATCACTAGGGGTCAGTGATTTATGGAACACAGTGGTTCCTCAGTTCTCGAACTCATTAGAACTCAAATTTCTTAAAAGTCGAACCAACCATTTTGGAAAAAAATTACCTAGTACTCGATCTGAATCTCAGAAGTCAAACCATGAACGGCAACCTAAGATAACTTGTACGCGCGGGGAAATGAGTCACGCGGCACATCTCTCAGCGGAAACAAAGGGTAAAGCGTCAGTCTCAGCCTTGCGTTCGCTGTGATAGCATCGTGCATGTTTACACAAGCTGAATACTTATATTTAGACAGTAAAAATACATTTAGACAATGACAGACAGTAACAGTAATTATTATTATATAATAAAATACATTTTAAAATACATATTTCTTATAAATTACTTTAATATGAATAATAAACCATTAATACATTTAATTATAATAATATTGTCGTGCCAAGCGGGGACGGAATGGAGACAAAGGCGCAGGCGTCAGGGTATCGGGGAATACGGGGTTTAATTACAGGTAAGGCAGGCAAAACGCAGACGGACAATACAATGACCGGACTGGGGAAACAAACTGAAACGCGGACTAAATACAGAGGACTCATGACAACAACCAGAAACAGCTGATCACATGGGGATTCCACACGGGGTTAACAAGGGGGCGTGGCACACGGAAGGAGCGGACGATCGGAGCAGGATACATTGTTTTTTTTAACTTTACACATTGGATACATTTATTTTCTTACTTTACAAATTACCGTTTTGATAAATGTCCTTAGATGTGTTTAGTACAGTATGTGCTCTTCTTGTTTTATCCGGTTCATTTTGTGTTTAAATGCTAAAAAAAGCATATTTAGGTATAATTTTTTGGAGCCGGGAACCAATTAATTTGTTTTCCATTATTTCTTATGGGGAAAATTCGATCAGAACCCAAACTTTTTAGGATTCGATCCGGAGTTCTGAACGGATTAAGTTCAAGTTCTGAGGTACCACTGTATTTTATTCTTGAGCCGTCCTTTAATACTCTGTACAATACGATATTTTGTATAAAACAATAAAACCAAAAAAGTGATAAATTAAAAAAAAACTAATAATAAATGAATGCAGTGTCTTTATTCTAGAATTCCTGAAAGTGTATACAGCTGAAAACTGCAGCTGTTGTGAATACTGTTCTGGTTCAGTTTCCAATGTTCAATTGTCTGTGCTCTCTTCATCTCAACAGAACAGCAGCCTTCAGATGAACTGTCCAACATAGAAGAAGGAACTGTAGGTAATATTTGGAAAAAGAAAACAAATGTCCTTCAGTGTTTTTGCAGAATTTCAATGACAGCTTTCCAGCCTGTAAATAGCAGTATATCTTGCTAATAGGAATCTTTGTTAACCTCAGAGTCCCAGAGAATGCCGCTCCATTGGGTGATAATACTGACAGTACTGGGTGGAGTCTTGTTGGTCTTCAACTCATTGGGCTGCTATGTAGGTCTGAGGAAGAGAAGGGGGCATTCCCTCGCAGGTACTGTCTGTGACATGACATTTATTCCTGATCTGGTGCCAGATACAGTTTCAGAAGCTGTCTGTGAAGCTCAGCTTTAAAGGGAGGGGAGATATGTCTTAACCCTAAGGAGTCTGTTATTTGCACTCCCGTTTTTCCCCCTCTGATCTTCTTGCTCTTCTCACTGCTCCAGTAACTCCACTTGCATGGCCTTGCATGCCCCCTTGTTTTTTGTGCAATTGTCTTTTCTGGCTCTCTGTAATTTCAGTCATTTTTGCTTGTCTTACACCCACCCCATCTATCTTCCCCCAGTTTCCTCTCCTTAAAACCGTCATGTCTTCATTCCCTCCATGTACTTCTCATCTTGCTTCTTTTTGTCTCTGTTGCTCTCCTTTCTGGATTGCTGCATTGCTCTGTTTCCTGCTTTGTCTCCCATGTCCTTTTTAGTTTGCACTTCTTCCTCCTGTCCTTCTATTGTCTTATTCCTCTTTTTCTCTTCTTCCCAGAGGACAAAAGTAATTGCTCTGAAGGATATATGAGAACAGGAGTGGGGTGAGTTAACCTAGCTTACTTTCTGAACCAGCAAGCCTTTGCTGGTAAACAAAGTTTGGAAATTACTTTTAAATATCAGAGTCACATTTGATTTAGTACAGATAGTAAAGCTGAAAGAAAAGTGCATGTATTTTAAAAATATATTATTCTCATTTGTTAGGCTGTTAACTTTAATGACATAGTAAGATCAGCTAGGGATCACTTTAAAATAATACTGGGTCAGAAACCCATTGTTACGGGTGTGCAGTCAATCAATAGTTTGTAAGAATCAGGGGTCTTTTGATAACACAGGGCATGAGGGTATTCACATGCCAGAAAAGTGTTGTTGTGAGTATAATGAGCAGCAACAGTTGTAGAAATGTTGGTAGATCTTTGCATTAACTGCACCTTCATAAGGCATTCATTATGCATTCATAGAACATTTATAAGCGACACGTAAGTACACTTTGCATGTCTAAACCATTGCATTCATACTGCTTTCACTGAACAAGACATGACAGCTGTAATGTATATTAATAACGAACACTATAATCACATAATGTTTGTTGTTAATGTATGTTTAAGATGTCATATTTTGCTCACTGAAAGTGCTATGCACTTTGTTCTTCGTATTCACTGAATGTTCTACAAATACAAAAAAAAGGCATTAGGAAAGTGCAGTTAATGTGAGGCATTACTGAACTTTCTAGTGAATTTATCACTGTCTTGCTCCATGTAGGTCCATGCTGGCCGAGTTGAATCGATATGAGGGAGGGGAGCTGATCAACGCAGCTGCCCAGCGCACCTTACTGGTGGACAGTGGCTCGGAACCTGGGAGCACAGTATATGAGACCTATGGAGATGTGAGCAACCTTGGATAGAAAAGGGGAAGAGAAAGAGTAGCAGGGATAATGGTACCAACTGAGTGGGTGGGCATGTTATTCCGAACATTTAGCTATTTTTTGAACATGCAGTTACAAGAGCTAATTTCATGGGCCAATGAAAACTTTAAACTGCAAAATTTCAGGAATACCCAGTTCAAAATACACTAATCATGATGGGAATCTTGTTATCATCAGGACCGCAGCCATAAGTTCTACTTTCCCATCACCGATTTTCAGCCTTCGCTGTACTCACATCCTGAGAGACCAGAGATGCACAGTAAGAAATGATTTTTGGTTATTCAGAAATGTTTAACATAAAGAAATATACTTATCATTTACTATGATTTCCTTCCAAGGTGCCAGGTACTCTGTGGGAGCAGAAAGTCATAACTATGAGGAAGTGAGGGACTGGAGAATGTATGAAGATTTGGGCAAAGTGTCCCTCCCCCCACCTCATTTATTATCCCCACCCTTCATGACAGACCATCACAGGTCTTGGCAGGAGACCAACCTCCAGGTAGGGCTGGGCAATTAATCAAATTTTAATTTCAGTTATGATTTTGGCTTTCAATGAAAATCAATAAAACAATTATTGTGTCACATTTTGTTCACAATGAAGCTCCCCCTTTGACTTGTGTTATAAAGCGCACATATGGCATCAAATCAGACTCACTACAACCAGACTTTGGATTTATTTACTTGAATTTGAATAGTAACCTGAACTTGGATTTCATTACCTGAATACCAGAATGTGAATCTGAATATGTTTACCTGAATTTGAATTAAAGACACCGAATTTGAATTCATTATTTGACTGGTAACCTGTCCTGTGGGTGATAAGATCTACACTTTACAACCCAAAGTTGAATCGCTATTACCACAAAAGCAACATAAATTCAGATAATAAATCCTACTTGTCCTATTCAGGGTCACAGGGGGTCCAGAGCTAATCCCAGAGGCTACAGGCCCAACCCAGGATAGGGTCCCATCCCATTGCCAGACACATTCACACATACGTATGGGTAATTTGGTAACTTCAATCAGCCTCAGTATGTTTTTGGACTGTAGTACCTGGAAGAAACCCCACAGGGAGAACAGGCAAGCTCCACAAATATGGAATCCTGGCAGAGAACAGAAGGTGGGAGGTGAAAGTGCTAAATTCAAACTCAGTTCCATTAATTCAAGCTCAGGTAAACATTCAAATTCAGGTTCTGAAATTCAAGTTTCAAAGAAATCTACTGTTAAAAGGACACTTTTTTTTACAAGATCGATAAATGCATGATATTTCCCAAGTCAATGAGTAATGTTAAATAATGCTGATCTCAGTATTGACCATGATTATGATTTTTGCCATTATCTAGCAGCCCTACCTCCAGGTGAGTGAGATTACACACTAGCAGGTCTGTTTGACTTTGCCGTGACTTTACATTTTCCCTTGTAGAGGGATGTCTTTATTATGTTTTGATATCCTCTCACTCCTCCCATGCTTCACAGGAGACTTATCAGAGAAGGAAAGACACAGCTGATTTGGAGACACAAGACGGAGCATATAATTCAGTAGTGGAGCATCACCTACATAACTATGACTATGAGCTGCCATTTGAACTCAGGGGGGAGTTAGTTTGAGATGATATTTGATTTGACTGTAAACATCAAAACACCTGCAGGCAAAAGTAATGTATGAGTAAATAAACACTGTCACAGATTATTTTTCATCAAATCAATATTAGGATAGAATTTTTTTGTTTTTGACTTTATGATTGTTGTTTTTTTATTACATTCTAACAACTCAGCATTGACTGTATGATTTCAGATGTGGGGTGGTGTGTGGTTGGGAAGTCCCATGGTTAAAAGAGGGATTTCACTACTGGACCCTTAAGCAAGCCCTATAGCCACAATTATACCAGGAACTGGTATAATTGTGTTGCGTTAGACAAAAGTGTCTGCTAATTAAATAAATGTAAATAAAATGTATTGGGCCCACAATTCACAACAGTTATGTAACCCCTTTAAATACACATTATTCACATAATTAAAATGTAACATTTTTTCTATATACTATCATCTTGTTTATAGCGGTATCCCTGTAGCTTCACACCTACCTGCCTGTCAGTTGAAATATCAAAATCCCAGCTTTCTTTGTGATGTTTGCATGTATTCTTCTTGTTCATACATGAATTTCCTCCAAGAACCCTCCATGTAGTCCCTGGATATGCAGTTATGTTTTCCCTGCCTTGTGCCCTGTGCTTCTTGAGTTAGGCATCAGGCCTTTACTGGATAATCGGAATGCAGGAATACAAGATATTCCTGCATTCAAAAGCTGAATAATCTTCATACTGTGAGGGCTTCAACCACACAAAATGTTCTGCTCTTTCTCCCTGTTGGACTGCTTTGTTAATAAGTGTGTTTATATGCATCAATGAGGCGTTTACGTCAAGCTCTCCTGACACATGCCTGCAGTCAGCGGGTGGGGGGGGTACAAATTTAATGACTGGATGAGCTTGATGAAGGCCCAGTGTTTACTGATGGCAGTAATTTTGTTAATGTAGGGGACTAACCTTTAAAATGCTTCACAGAAGAATTGCATCACTTTGGGATATATTAGCAATAAAATGCAGAAACAATGCAATCTGGGCACTATTTACTAGGGCTGGTTCGAATACCATTTTTTGAGCTTCGAGTATTCGGTAGTGATCAACATCGAATATTCGAAGCTTCGGTGGGAGGGGGCTGAAAATATTCTTATCTCTAATAAAGGCAGGAATCT